AAAAAAAGTGCTGATGTGACAATAAAACAAAACCTTTTTCAGTCAGAATTTAAGCAGCAGTCCTACCACTAACTGCAGCAAAGCTCCTTAATATAAAACTGTACAAATAATCAGAAAGAAATGAAAATGTGAAGACTGTAATTGTTGTATTTCTGCATCTTGAAAACTGTAGATCTGTTTTTCACTAGCAGGAACACAATAAAGCATGAGCTCAGCTACAGTAAACAATAAAGTTCCATGCAATGCCAGAATAATGCTGAGAAGACTATTTCACCTGGTGATCTCATACAACAGCTGATTTCCCCTTCGATTTTATGAAAGCAGAAATATAACAACATAGGAAACATAGAAAACAACAATGTGGGCTTCATTCCACAAAATGAAACAAAGACAACAAAGAAGTTTAAGGCAATAACAAAGGAACAGCGTTTCTTTCTCGGCAAAGGAAGAATCTACTTGAAACAAAGAAGAAAACATACAATTACTGACACAATGAGGAAATAATTTCTCGTAACATGTAAAACAAATGATGTAATGTAGGAACTAACTGCAATGATCAGTTGTTTACAGCGCTGCTGACTCCTGCATTTTTACAATTATTTAATTCGATGCAGCTTATTAATACAGAAACCATTGTCTGAATGCAATTTAAAAGAAAAACTCAGCCAGTTCATTTCCGATTTCCAATCCACTCCAACCTTATAATTTATTGACACACAGTTCAACGTAATCCTAAATATAAATGTAGTTTCTATCTCCAGTCATTGATTTTGCAGCTATTCCTCCTGCATATGGGGATTGTGGAAAGGAATGAATCCACTTAAAAAGGAAGAAAAAAAATACAAATGTTTATGAGCAGTAATGAAATTGTTTCCCAGTAGAGCATAATAATAAAACATATAAGTTAATAAGGAAGTGTCATGAGTGATAAAATGATGTAATGTGGGAACTAATTGTTGTGATATCTTGCTTACATCTGCAGGAACTCGAGAAACACAGGCTTGCTGAGTCTTGCATTTTTATATTTATTCAATTTAACAAAAGCTGTTATTGATATAACCTCTAACTTTGTGAGCTGCCATCTGCCGTTACAGACCGGGGTTTTATTAAATAAACTGATGCATCTTGTTTTCCTTTCAAATAGCACTTTATGAACTTTAATGCATTGGATGAACACATTTTTAAATTTTTTATAAAAGCTGCGCAGGAGCTTTGCAGTAAGAACGTCAATGTTGGAAACCCCAGCAACTTGTAAATGTACATATACATTTTAATTCAACCTGATTGGATTTAGAAAATAAGACTACACTGCAAAAACATTGAATCTTCCAGTCAGAAAAAAACATGCTGACAACATTAAAAAGTTATTTTAAAACTGAATATGTCATATATAAGAATAATTTTTGTTTTTTCAGGGAGACACAGGATTTGTTCATTCAAATTTGGTTTCTTGAAATCAATGATCTTTGCAGTTGTTATGTCACATTTATTCACTGGAAAAACACAGAATCTTACCAAATGTTTTATCTTTTCTTTTAGTGCAGAAGACATAAATAATTTAGAAATAACTTTTCAGCAAGATATAGGAGCTTGTTTTAAGTCAGTAATTATATATAAGTAATACTGGTTCTGTTAGCAGAGTATTTAATACATAACAAGACAATACAATATTAAGGAATTATTGACTAAAAACAAGCTCCTAAATCTTGCTGAAAAGTTACTTGTCAGTTACGTCTTATTTCAAGCGTCCTATGATATCTGCACTAGAAAGTAGACCAAAAATACTTGGTAATATTTTGTGTTTTTGCAGTGTACTTG